CACAGCCGAGTTGAGGGTTACAGGAATCCCAGGCTATGTGAGAATTATTTTATATGACACAATCAAATAGTGTGTTTTATATTACAACGGCCAACATTTATTTACAATATATATTAATGACCTGAATGCGGGAAATGAATGCACTATAGAGAAGTTTGCGGATGACAAAACAGGTGAAAGTGGCAAGGATGACACAAGGAATCTTTCTCTCTTCACAGATGCTGCCAGACCTCCTGAGTTTCTCAAGTATTCTCAGTGTTTCTTCAGATTTTCAGCATCTGCAGTATTTTGCTTTTATTCAAAGTAGGGGTTGCCCAGTTAGGACAGAGATGAGGAGAAATTTCTTCTCTCAGAACATAGTGAATCTGTGGAATTCTTTACGGGGGAGGGCTGTCAAGGCTGAGTTGTTAAGAAAATTCAAGGCTATGATAGACAGATTTTTATTCAGTAAGGGAACCTAGGGTTTTGGGGAAAATGCAGGAAAGCGGAGATGAGAACTATCAGATCAGCCATGGTCTCACTGAATGGTGGAGCAAGATTAAACAGAATGAATGACCTACTTCTGCACAAACATCCTACGGTCTCACATGTATAAGCACCACTCACATAATAAAATGTCCCACAGGAGCGTTTTAAAATGTGACACCCATCACTGCAAGGAGCTGTTAGGTTAGAGAAGTAGGCCTTAAGGAGTGTCTTAAGAGAGGGAAGTGGCATAGAGAGGAATTACAGAGATTGGGACCTAGTTAGTGGAAGACATGGACACCAATGGCAGAATGATTATAATCAGGGATGGTCAATGAGTCAAAATTAGAGGAATTCTGATAACTTAGAGTGTCATGGAATTGGAAGAGAAAACAGAAATAGGGAGGGGCAAGGCCATGGAGGGATTTGAAAAGCAGGATGAGAATTATTTTTAAACAATTGAGATGTCACGTGAGCAGGAGCTGGTGTAGGTTAGACAGCAGAGGGACAGATAAGGAAACAAACTGGCTGCAAATTAAGGCAAAGGAAATAGCATCTTGGATAATCAAGCTTCCAGAGGATTGTATGTCAGAAAGGAGCCAGGAGTGTGTGAGAATAGCTAAATCTGGAGTTGGATGAGAATTTCAGCAGCAAATGATCTGAGACAGGACAACATCATATATGTGGAAATTACTGGTTTCAGTGAGGAGATTGGAAACTCATCTTGGGATCAGATGTGACACTAAGTTTGTGAACAGATATGTAAATAAGTGATGTTTTGGAGACCATGGGGGAGTGGAGAGAGGTGGTGGTGATGAAATAGAGTCAAGTGCTGTCAATGTACGTGATACTATCGCTGCTGGAATTGGTGGTGGTGGGGAGACAAGAATAGATCCTTGGGGGCCACCAAATATAGCACACCAGGAGCAGGGAGAGAAGCCATGTTCTCTGATTCTGTAGCTATGATTAGATAAGGAGAATAGAAAGAGAGTGTAGTCCCAGCCAGATGACAGTGGAGAGGGATCGGAAGAAGATGATGTGGTCACTGTGTCAAAGACTGCAGACGGTCAAAAAGGATGAAGGGGAAAAGTTTACCACAGTCACATACCACAGTCACATAGAAGAGGACTTGTGATTTTGATAAGAGTTGTTTTGGTACTGTGACAGGAGAGAAACCTGATTGGAGGGGTTCAAACACTGAGTCCTGGGAAAGATGGGGATGGATTTGGAAGGGGATGTTACATTCAAGGACAAAAATAGAAATTGATGGAAAAGCTCAGCAGGTCGGGCAGCATCTGTGGAGAGAAATCAGAGTTAACGTTTTGGTTTGAGCAATCCATCCTCAGAACTGATGGTAGCTAGAAAAATGTCAGTTTATATACAGAAGAAAGGAGCGAGGGGAGGGGGTCAGGGGTAAATGATTAGTGGTAAATAGTTAGTGGAAGACATGGACACCAATGGCGGAATGATTATAATCAGGGATGGTCAATGAGTCAAAATTAGAGGAATTCTGATAACTTAATAGTGTCATGGAATTGGAGGAGAAAACAGAAATAGGGAGGGGCAAGGCCATGGAGGGATTTGAAAAGCAGGATGAGAATTATTTTTAAACAATTGAGATGTCGCGTGAGCAGGAGCTGGCGTGAGCCCAAAGAGAGGGAACAGCAGTTGGACTGACAAAGAAATGGTCTGGCTAGGAGTGTGAATAGCTGTTAATAGGGACTGTTAGTGGCTAATGATGGGTGGTGTACAATAGCAGATGAAGTGATAACAATAATGGAGGTTCTGGTATTAAGACTGGGGTGGACGAGGTTGGAAATCAGACAACACCAGGTTGTAATCCAACAGGTTTTATTTGAAATCACAATTTTTCAGAATGTAGCCCCTTCATCACACTTCACCCGATGAAGGGGCTACATTCTGAAAACTTGTGATTTCAAATAAAACGTGTTGGACTATAACCTGGTGTCGTATGATTTCTGACTTGTGATAACAAGACGCAATTGTGGACGTTGAAGTAAGGACCTTACAACCCCCCCTCCCCCCACCCTATCTTCTGCATATATCAATATAAAGTTCAATAACTTTAGGGTCTGAGTTCTCCCATGACCTTACTCCAACCCCCACAACCAGGCCTTGTTATCACAGTCTGCCATCACACACCACCAGCCACTAACAGCCCCCATTAACAGCTATTCACCCTCCTAGGCAGGTCATTATCCTCTCCTTTGTCTGTCCAACTGCTCTTACCTCTCTTTGGGCTCTATCCCCACCTATTGTTTATTCCTTACCCCCTCCCCCCACCCTATCTTCTGTATATAAATCAATATTTTCCTAGCTACCATCAGTTCTGAGGAAGGGTCACTCGACATATGCTGCCGGACCTGCTAAGCTTTTCCAGCAATTTCTATTTGTGCATCCGCAGTTTTTTTCAGTTATATTCAAGAAACGTGGAGGGTATGAGGCTGGAGATAGGATAGGAAGGTAGTTTGCAAGGATGGTAGCGTTGAGTTAATGTTTTTGAGGAGAGGGTAATGACAACAGATTTAAAAGGAGAGGGACAAAACTTGGAGATCCATTAACATTTTCAGCTGACCTGGGGATCAGGAGGGCAAGTAGGCTGATCAGCAGTTTAGTTTGAGGGAATGGGGTTGAGGGAGCAGGAGATGGGCCTCATGGTTAAGACAAGACAGAGAAAAGATAATGAGGCGAAAATGTTTAAAACATTGGTAATCACAGAACACCATCCTTACAGGTAGAATTCCAGATTCCCGCCACTCTGTGGATGAAAAATCTTTTCCTCATATCCCGTCTACATGTCCTACCCTTATCCCCAAGGGGAGGTGATGGCCTAGTGGTATTATCACTAGACTATTAATCCAGAGACCCAGGTAATGTTCTGGGGTGCTGGGTTCGAACCCCGCCACGGCAGATAGTGGAATTTGAATTCAATAAAATATCTGGAATTAAAAATCTAATGATGACCATGAATCCATCCCCAATTGTTGGGAAAAACCCATCTGGTTCACTAATGCCCTTTAGGGGAGGAAAACTGCCATCCTTACCTGGTCTGGCCTACATGTGACTCCAGACCCACAGCAATGTTGTTGACTCTTAACAATAGGGATGGGCAATAAATACTGCCTGGCTAGCGATGCCCTCATTGCATAAATAAAGGATCTCAAGTGTAAGAAAGTTACTTTCCATCTATTCTGTACTTATTCTTTTAAGGATGTAGTTGCCCATCCCTAGATCTCCTTGGGCTGAGTGGCTTGCTGAATAGATCGTTTCAGAGGGCAGTTTAGCGACAGTCCCATTGCTGAAGTCACATGGAGGCTAGAATAGATAAGGAGAGCAGATTTCCTTCCCTAAGGGACATCAGCAAACCAAAAGGGTTTGTACTATAATCGATGGTAGCTGTCATGGTTATCAGCACTAAGAATGGTTTTTATATTCTAGATTTAACACCTAAATTTAAATTCCATGAACTACTGCACTAGGATTCAAACCAGTATTCCTTGGGCATTAGCTTGGCAATGGTACCTGAACCCGCCAGATTCAAAAGGTGAGGAATATCAAACCTCTACCAATTCGTGACTCAACTGAACTAATAACTAATAAAAATGCAAGATGTTTCTCCTCAATTATAAACACTGAAACCAGGAGCAAAAGTGAGCCATTCAGCCCCTCGAGCCTGCTCTGCTATCTAATACCATGGCTAATTCTCCATCTCAATGCCATATTCCCACATTTTCCCCATATTCCTTGATGCCGTTAACATCTAAGTATCTATCTCTTTCTTGAATATGTTCAGTACTTAGCCTTTACAAGTTCACTATCCACTGAGTTCAGAAATGTTTCCTCATCTCAGTCCAAAATGTTCTACCCGATATTTCCACAACCCTTTCACAATTCCACACTTGCCCTTCTGGTTCTAGGCCCCCCAAAAGGGGAAATATTCTCCCTGCATCATTTCAATCAAATCCCCTCTTATCCTTCCTAACTCTAGTGAACACAGGCTCTGTTGAACATTCCTGCTATCAGCCTACTGAACCTCCACTGCACTCCCTCTGTGGCAAGTGTATCCCTCCTTTAGTAGGGAGACCAATTGAGCAATCTCAATGCAGATAATCTCGAGTCTCACATCCTTATGACTCTTCAAATTCATTGACTGATGAGGATCCCTCCAAAGTATTGAGAGTGCTCTTTTGCAAATGATTTTCAAAGAAATTTGAATGTCAATTCTTTTCGAAAGCAGGGACTGTTTCTTCCAAGAAAAGACTATTTGCCAAAGCCTTATTGAAAAAAAACATTTGACACAGAAGAGATTATTGACAGAGCAGACAGAAAGGAACAGACAGACAGGCAGAGACAGGCAGACAGAGGGATAGGAGCCGTTTCCATCACCCTGTACTTTATTTCTCTTTATTCGATTCATTCAAAAACAATTAAACAAGAGAATTATTTTCCCAGCACCAATCAAGAAACATCTGCGACACTGTGTCTGAGCAGATTCTTTCCAAATCCTCTCAGGCCCTAGAAACCCCACCACACTGTGCTTCAGAAAGAGAGGCTGAGCAGAACAATAGAGAGGCTGAGACAGGCTAGGAAAGAGAGAGAAAAAAAAATAACAATGGTGAGAATCAGTTATACTGAAATGTGGTGCATTTCTTATTGTGCTCACAAGATTAATGGAAACTGTCTATTTATCAAAATCCACTAGTTGAAGTTACAGTCTTATAAGTATAAGGTGTCTACAAGTATAGAACTTCAGTATAATATAATGTAAATGTTGCCCTTAAGCTAAAAAGATCAGAATAGCAGTAAGTACCTTAACAGCAGAAAATCTCACTCTCGGTGAGGCAGTAGACATGGTATTTTTCTCAGTGAAAATACTGGGAGAAATTTTAAAGCAGGATTCAGCAGCAACGCCCTTAGAGTGGTACATCAATAATTAGTCACTTCAGGATAATGTACACTCAACAAAACATGCGACTGAGGATCAATATTGCAATTTTAAAATAGATGCTGGAGAATGGAGAAGTCTATATTGAAATGAGAGGATAGCAGCAATCACCTATCCAACTGATTTATGAGGAAAAAAGCAAGCCCTAAGAAAATAGTAGAAATACTGGAAAAAGATTCTTGGAATTCTGATGTACATGAATATAACATGATATACAAATGTTTTGACATTTTGTACTCTTGTTTTTTATATTAATTTACTTGTAAAAATGAAAATTAATTACATCTAGTAGGGTCTGAGAGACATATTTGACACCAAATGGAATTAGGGAACAGGTTATGGTTTTGTGAATTAAAGGATAATTGGATGAGACCTTGCTAGGATGGGGATTGAACAAGTAATCATTGTACAAAAACAAAGTTGCTGGAAAAGCTCAGCAGGTCTGGCAGCATCTGTGGCGGAGAAAACAGAGATAACGTTTCGGGTCCGGTGAACCTTCCTCAGAACTGATGGTGGCTGGGAAAACGTCAGCTTATATGCAGAAAATAGGGAGGTGGGTGGGGTAGGGAGTAAACGATAGGATAGAGCCCAAAGAGAGAGAAAGACAGTTGGACAGACAAAGGAGTTGCTAACGATCAGGCTGGGAGGGTGAATAGTTGTTAATGGGGACTGTTAGTGACTAATAACAGTGGGGGTGTAGTGGCAGGCTATGTGGAAACAAGGCCTGGTGTGTGGGGTGGGGGGCTGGGATATGTCCAGCCCATGGGCTCCCATGTGCTGCCAGACCTGCTGAGCTTTTCCAGCAACTTTGTTTTTGTTCCTGATTTACAGCATCCGCAGTTCTTTTGGTTTTTTTTTAAGTAATCATTGTATTCTGGAATTTTACAATGTGTAAATTGGAATAAAACTCCAGCTGGAGAAGCGTATGAATGGACTCTGTCCATCTAAACTGATGCTCAACAGCCGTTGCTGCCTCAGAGCTCAGGACCTCAACGTTCGGCACTGGGGTCACCCGCTGCTCTCTAGAAAACGGGAACAGCTGAAGATATTGGTGTCTCCTGAACTCACAATGGAGCGGCCCATCAGCAGATTTATCAAAGCAAAAACCCAAGTCAATCTAAAAAGAAATGACGATGATGGAAATCTGAAACTAAACCAGAAATTGCTGTAGAAAATCAGCAGATCTGGCAGCACCCAGGAAAGAGAAAGTGTCAAGGTTTTGGGTCCAGCGACCCTGTTTTCTTTCCACAGATGCTGCCAGATCTGCCGTGTTTCTTCGGCAATTTCTCTTTTATTTTGAGATAGTAAGAACTGCCGATGCTGGAATCTGAGATAACACAGTGTGGAGCTGGAGGAACACAGCTGGCCAGGCAGCATCAGAGAGCAGGAAAGCTGACGTTTCGGGTCGGGACCCTTCAGAAAAAAATCTTTTATTTCGTTGCTCAAGTTAACCTCTGCTGGGTCTGTGCACTCACCAAGCGTTCCATTTCCTGTTCCCGGAGCCTCTCCTCCTTCTGCTGCTGGTGATAATCCAGGAGCTCCTCCTCGTTGCCCCCGATCGAGCTGATGCTGTTGGTGCGGCGGCGGAAGGCGGGGGGCGATGCTGATCGCGGGCCGGCGGCTGAGACCGCTGGCTTCCCCGCGTCGCCCTCTAGCACGCTGCCCCAGCCCCTGAATGTCTGGTCGAGGCTCTCGATGGGGAAGGCACCCCCTCCATTCTGGAGCTCCTTCCTCCCGGGGCTGTCGAAGGGACTGTCTGCCGCTCGGCCCCGGGGGGAATTGGGCGAAGCCAGGGCGATCCTCTGAGCCACCCTCGGGCTCCCCGAGACGCGGTGCTCCTCGAGTCCTTCGGTGGCAATACTGGCTTGGCCGGGGTGGGAATAAAAGGATTCCTTCATGGGCAGAGGGAAATACCTTGGAGCCAATTCCCTGGATTCATCAGCGGCGCTCCTTGCCTGAAGCCACTCGGCCTGCTGGATGGATGTGAAGGGGGTCAGTTGGCAGTCCCCTGCCCTGTGCAGCTTGGGCAGGGAGCGGCTGTGCGCCCCCGTGAGCCGAAGGGAAGTCCCGGAGCTCTCCCTCGCCCGGGTGCTGTACCCGAGAACCCCATCGCCGACGACCATCCTCTCCCGACCGGGGCCGTAGGAATCGACGGGGCTGCAGTGCAGGTAGAGCCTCCGGGCCAGCCGGGGGCTCGAAGGCACGCTGGCTGACTCCTTCCCACGGTCGGCGACGGCACGGAGGAGCCCGGCGCCATACCGGGCGCTTCCCGCCGATAGTGTCGAGTCGTCCCACGCGGCCCCCCGGGAGAGGCCTTCCCCGTAACCCAAGCCGGGAGACCTCGATCCGTTCCACAGCTCCGGCGGCCTCCTCCTCCTCGACCCCACTCCTCCCCGGTAGGCTTCAGAGTAAACGGAGCAAACCGTCGGTGATGGGGGGCTGTGCGGGGGAGGGGGGGAACCGGCCGAGTTCACCGGCGACCGGGAGGGGAAAAACCGTTGGAAGGCGCCGCCGGCCTGCCAGTCCGCCGAAGGGGGTGAATACGGCGGGTAAAGTGGCGGCATGGCGAGGCGGCTGGTGGTGGTGGTGGTAGTCCTGGTCGTGAATCGCCTCCCGTCAGCCGCTAGCTCGTCCGAGGAGCTCCTGGCCTGGCCCTCGGCGCGGGTCAACGTCGTCAGTCCCAGCGCCTCGTGAGGGGCGTCGTCGTCCTCCCCGCTACCACGGCAACCGCGTTCAAATCCCAACTGTCTGGAGAGCGGGCTCCGCGTCAACGCCTGGCGATCTCTGGCACTGGGAAAATCTGTCATGGTAAAACAATAAGCATCGTATTAGGACAAGATTTTTGGGGTGCATTTTTCTTAGATGTCTTATTATGGGGAGGGGAACGGTGTTGGGGCTGATGGTGTTGCTGGACCAGGGTAGCAGGAGTGGTGGTGGTGGTGGAGGCTGAATGCGAGGTGAGGGGTAGCGGGTGTTTGGGTGGGACATACTATAGGAACCCCAGTGAGAAGCCAAGGGAACTTTGGGAGGGTTGGCGAGGGGTCAGGTATCTTCAAGACAGCAGCTCACGGCTTGGGGTTGGGAGAGCAGGTGCAAAGTTTAACCCTTGAAATTTAAAGTTGCACATACTAAACCTACACATAAAATTAAGGACGAAATAGACCTTACCAGTTCAATGCAAATATTAAGGGATAATGGGTCCATTGCTCTTGTTTTTAAAAACGCTGACAAAGCACTGTATAATGGTTTTCCCACTCTGACCCTAGTTGAAGGCTCGAAAATTGTCACCTTTACCCTCGGCAAGGTTGTTTGTAAGCGTGATTGGGAATGGGGATGATGACTGGAGAGGGATGGGTTAGTCAGGGACCTGTGACATTGAGGAATGAGTGGGCTTGGGACCCCATGTGAGGGTCCTGAGCACTTCCACCCCATTCCCAACTCCTCACTTTAGGAATAGTAGGAACTGCAGATGCTGGAGAATCTGAGATAACAAGGTGTAGAGCTGGATGAACACAGCAGGCCAAGCAGCATCAGAGGAGCAGGAAGGCTGACATTTCTGGCCTAGACCCTTCTTCAGAAATGGGGGAGGGGAAGGGGGTTCTGAAATAAATAGGGAGAGGGGGGAGGTGGATAGAAGATGGATAGAGGAGAAGATAGGTGGAGAGGAGACAGACAGGTCAAAGAGGCGGGGATGGAGCCAGTAATGGTGAGTGTAGGTGGGGAGGTAGGGAGGAGATAGGTCAGTCCAGGGAGGACGGACAGGTCAAGGGGGCGGGATGAGGTTAGTGGGTAGGAGTTGGGTGTGGGGCTTGAGGTGGGAGGAGGGGATAGGTGGGAGGAAGGACAGGTTAGGGATGCGGGGACGAGCTGGGCTGGTTTTGGGATGCGGTAGGGGGAGGGGAGATTTTGAAGCTTGTGACCTCTACATCACCGAGGCCAGGCGCCAACTCTCCGACACCACCTCCTATCGCCTCCTTGATCATGACCCCACCCCCCCGACCACCAAACCATCATCTCCCAAACTATCCACAACCTCATCACCTCAGGTGACCTCCCACCCACAGCCTCCAACCTCATCGATCCCCAACCCCACACCGCCCGCTTCTATCTCCTTCCCAAAATCCACAAACCTGACTGCCCTGGTCGACACATTGTCTCCGCCTGCTCCTGCCCCACCAAACTTATCTCCACCTATCTGGACTCCATTTTCTCCCCCTTGGTCCAGGAACTCCCTACATACGTCCTTGACACCACCCACGCCCTCCACCTCCTCCAGAACTTCCAATTCCCCGGTCCCCAACACCTCATCTATACACCTGCATTCCCCATACAGATAGCCTAAAGGTCCTCCGCTTCTTCCTGTCCCGCAGGCCCAACCCGTCCCCCTCCACTGACACCCTCATCCGCTTAGCCGAACTCGTCCTCACCCTCAACAACTTCTCTTTCAATTCCTCTCACTTCCTACAGACAAAGGGAGTGGCCATGGGTACCCGCATGGGCCCAAGCTATGCCTGCCTCTTTGTAGGTTACGTGGAACAATCCCTCTTCCGTGCCTATACTGGCCCTAAACCCCACCTCTTCCTCCGTTACATTGATGACTGTATCGGCGCCGCCTCGTGCTGCCACAAAAGGCTCGAACAGTTCATCCACTTCACCAACACCTTCCACCCCAACCTTAAGTTCACCTGGACCATCTCTGATGCCTCTCTCTCCTTCCTGGACCTCTCTGTCTCCATCTCTGGCAACCACCTAGAAACCGATATCCATTTCAACTCCCACAGCTACCTAGAATACACCTCCTCCCACCCACCTTCCTACAAAAATGCCATCCCCTATTCCCAATTCCTTCGCCTCCACCGCATCTGCTCCCAGGATGAGGCATTCCACTCCCGTACATCTCAGATGTCCACGTTTTTCAAGGACCCCAACCTCCCCCCTCAGTGGTCGAGAAAGCCCTCGACCGTGTCTCCCGCATTTCCCGCAACTCGTCCCTCACACCCCGTCCCCGCAATAACAACCAGAACAGAATCCCCCTTGTCCTCACATACCACCCCACCAACCTCCGGATCCAACGCATCATCCTCCAACACTTCCGCCATCTGCAATCTGACCCCACCACCAAAGACATTTTTCCCTCCCCACCCTTATCTGCTTTCCGGAGGGACCACTCTCTCCGTGACTCCCTTGTCCGCTCCACACTCCCCTCCAGCCCCACCACACCCGGCACTTTTCCCTGCAACCGCAGGAAGTGCCCCTACACCTCCCCCCTCACCCTCATCCCAGGCCGCAAGAAGACTTTACACATCAAGCAGATGTTCACCTGCACATCTGCTCATGTGGTATACTGCATCTGCTGTTCCCATTGTGGCCTCCTCTACATCGGGGAAACCAAGCGGAGGCTTGGGGACCGCTTTGCAGAACACCTACGCTCGGTTCGCACTAAACAACTGTACCTCCCAGTCACGAACCATTTCAACTCCCCCTCCCATTCCTCAGACGACATGTCCATCCTGGGCCTCCTGCAGTGCCACAACTATGCTACCCAAAGGTTGCAGGAATAGCAACTCATATTCCGCTTGACAACCCTGCAGCCCAATGGTATCAATGTGGACTTCACAAGCTTCAAAATCTCCCCTCCCCCTACCGCATCCCAAAACCAGCCCAGCTTGTCCCCACCTCCCTAACCTGTCCTTCCTCCCACCTATCCCCTCCTCCC